GGACGTCTAGGGTGATACTCTCCTAGGTACTAGACTAGGAAATTCTTTTGAGATTATGTAAAGACTAATCTTTTGTTATTCCGTTGCAAAGTTTAAACTTGATTCTTTTGTGATGTAGATGTCATAGTTCGGCATATTCTTTTGGACAACGTTGTAGATATTGTGGATAATGAATGAAATTATTTTTAATTATGGATGTTACTAGCTGCTCTCGTGTTGTGAATGATTTTTAGATTGTAATGCCATTCAAGGGAGATTTTGGGGCGTTACAACGGGTAGCTTACCCACAGCCCAACCAGCGAGCTTATTGGGCAGGCCTACTCGCGGGCTTTTTTATATACAACTTCATTTAAAAGTAATGAATATTTTTGTAACTTAATATTTGGGTAAATTATATTTTTAAATCAAAAATAGAGTTACAATGAATAAAAATAAAATAATGAATAATTTTATTTTTAATTAGGGGATAAACTACATCTAATATAATGAATACATCCCAACTAGGTTGATAATTACTCACTTATCTTTTATCTATTATTTGCATTACTTTACCTTTCAAAATTTGTATGCTTAATACATGGAAAAGAAAATAATACATTATTTATAATATTTAAAANGAATAATTTTATTTTTAATTAGGGGATGAACTACATCTAATAGAATGAATACATTCCAATTAGGTTGACACCTACTCACTTATCTATCATTTGTATTACTCTACTATTTAAAATTTGTATGTTTAATATATGAAAAATAAAATAATATATTATTTATAGTATCTAAAATTTTAAAACTTCAAATTTCTACATTGAGAGACTTATTTTAAATTTTTAAATTTAATGATCTAAAAATATAATTTTTTTTTCAAAAGAAGAGTGGGCGGGTTAGCCTTGGCTGGCGGACTCTTCAACCTGGCTTAACGGGCGGTCTCTTCGGCCGGATAATGGGTTTGGGGGCAAATCTAATCCCTCTTTTTAAAGATATTGTGCTCGGATTCTGACAGGCTAACTATCGGACATATAGAATTTTGAGCCTATTTTTTCAAGACCGGATAACGGGACCCGTGGGTAACCCGCCCCATGTACCTCCCTAGTAAATAGTAGCAAAACAATGCTACAAAATTTAAATAAAATTTAAAAAATTTCAACCCAAATGTATATCATCTCTCGNGCGGTTTGTCTGTCTTTGATGTGATATCATATGTCACGCGTCCATCCCCTATTGGTTGTGATCTCTGCATTCCAGTACGTTCTGACATTACTTGTGTAAGACGAGGTCATGATGAATAGCCTAGTCTAGCCTAGGCTAATGACCTGTACGTCAATAGCCTATCCTGGAGTAGAGGAAGCGTCCAGGATGGGGTACCTCTCGGCACCGAGGAAAGGCTCATCTCGGGGACCGAGGGAGGTATGCCAACCGAGGTACATATCAGACCGAGGCCACGTGTCGGTTGTAAAATATACTGAATGTATGATCCTATATGACGAGTACCTCGGGGGCGAGGACCTTGTGCGCCGATGGTGCTTGATCTTTAGCAAGTGTTTTAGTAAAACCGAGGACACGTGTCTTCATCATAGGGTTATTTCAGAAAAGTCCCATCATAATAATATTCTTATTTAAAAATATTGATTTAATTTATTGACCTAATGATATTATAGTAATATTATTTAATAATATTATTGTGAATATAACATTTGAAGGTGGATATCATTATTACGAGTACAAGATATTACAATTATCATAAAGTGGGAAAAAATCCTGAGAAAAAAAAAACAAAAACACAAAGATATGGATAAAGAATTTGCATAATTGAATCCCAAAGAATGTATCAAAGAGACCAACTAAACTAGACCTACTTGGTTAGTATCGAATAATGAATAGGGATGACATTGGACTGCGGTGCAAGGAGTAAGCTTCACCCCAGTATCCACTTTAAAAATATTTGTCTATCATTGATTCATCTCCGTTAGTAGAAAACATTTTAATTCCTGTCCCCGCCGTATGTGTAAATTTTCACCTTTGTCTCCGCCCCCGTCCTAGTCTATAACAATTAATTTTAATAATTTTAGGAGAAAAATAAAAAAAAAATCGTAAAACTTCATAAATTGATTTGCAAGAAAGATAAAAATTTATTATATAACAAATAGATCAGATATAAAAACTCACAAAAATAACATGTATAGCAAATGTGTATTTCACTTAATTATTTTATTTGTTATATATATTAGGAGTTTAGTAGGGCGGGCCGGGGTTTTAGTCCATCTCCGTATTTATCTCCGTACGGGTTTATATGAGTATTCTCGTATACGTCTACTGTCTAATNCCGGGGTTTTAGTCCATCTCCGTATTTATCTCCGTACGGGTTTATATGAGTATTCTCGTATACGTCTACTGTCTAATGAATGTAGTTTATTCTCGATCCAAACAAGATAAATTTGGACGAATATTTGTTTTTCCTTAGTCCCTTGCCATTCCTAATAATGAGCAACCATTTAAATGGTAACAAATTGGGAGGGAAGTAATTCTCCTAATTTAAGAATAATGAACTAGGACTATTGGATTTGTAGTTGGTTTAGCACAGGATGGAATTTACAATCAACCAGATGATAATAACATGTTAAATTTTCAAAATAGATTTCGAAATTATACCAAAATTATAACATAATATCACTATTTTGTGATATGATATAATAATAACATCGTAATATTACCCTTGTGCAAATTTTTTTTCTCCAAATAACTTTGGACATTTTTTTTGAATTTTTCTAAGTGTTTGGTTAGTTGGAAATGAAAAATCTTTAGGCCAGAAATAACTATCCTTGACCCAAAATGGTAAGTAAGTGGCAATAACAACGAGTTATAAATCTAAATATCTTAAATTCGAATTTTGACAATCTCTAAATATCAGGACGTAAGAGATTTATTCCTTATAAATTTTTTAATTATGATGTGAATAACCTGTCTTTGATCGAACTGAAAAAGAAATTAGTCTAGTTACGCGTCTGCTAGTCCAAATACCGCTAATTGTTGAAAAAAAAATAACTAACCTTTTTTTCTACATATAAGAAAGTTAAAAATTTTCCATGCCAGTGGCTTTGAACAATTTAAAACCCCACTTTACCCTCTCTCTTTTCTTTAATTTGAATTTCCAACATGTATATATTATAAATTCCAAAACTATTGACTGTCTACATAATCTTATTTCCCGTAGAATGAGTAAAGTTTACAGGTGCTAAAATGAGGATATGGTAAATAGTTNATATATATCATTTTTGATCAAAAAAATTCTATAAAATTACTTCTTTATTCGGTATATCTACAAAATTTGCCAAAAAAATGAATAAAGTTTTCCATAAATTTATTCCCCACATGACCTGAATTTTTTTTTCGTAAATTTATCAAAATTTTGGTATCAGATCAAATTTCACTTACTATGAGTAATAAGGAATACAATATTGAGGAAAATTTCTGAAAAAATATTATGATGATAAAAAATGAGTGGCAAAATAAGTCAAAAATTTGCTAGTTATGATTAGAAGAAGCCAATTGTTGAGTATAAAAGAAAGTCTAAAAAGAAAGATCAATTAACAAAAAAGAAATAATTTATTAGATATGAGCTATCTTAATCTAAATTATCGATTCCAACAAACACATATTGGACTTCAAAAAAAAAAAATCTTTATTTCGAAATGGTTTGATATATGAAATGAATCTATTATTTCGATTTGTTACGTATTTTTTTATTTTATTGAATTGAATTATGTGAATTTCGATACATCACAAAAAAATGTTGAATATAATTTTTATGCGGATAAATTTCAATTTGCACCCTTATTCCCTCTCAATATATTTTGAGGCTTAAAACAACAGTTATAGTAAGACCTTTTATTTTAAATATTAATAAAAATTTTAAATAAATTTATTCTTCTCACAAAAATGTAATTATTAAACTTTTATATTCAATTTTTGCTGTCATATATTTTTTAATTCATAGTATTTTTAATTCACTTAATCTTTATTATTATGATATAGACGATAAAGATTTTCATGTTATTATAATATTTTTTTCTTTGTTGTTGTAAGATTTTTTTTTGTTTGTTTTACGCCAAGGTTGTCATACTACATATTTGATTCGTAGATCCCCATTTGAAAAACCTTGAAAGTGACATCAACAATAAGAAGTTTTCGCACCAATGTCGGGGATTTTGGAGCCGGCTTGTCGTTACATACCATAAGATGGTGTTTCATTCTATTGGGTTTTTGTCTCTAATTCTGTGGAACAAGCTGTTATATCTTGATTGTCAGTCTTGGCGTTTTAGATTTGGCTATAAGTTGTTTGAGACAATGCCTGAAAGAAATGGTATCTCATATAATGTCATGATTCTTGACTGTTTTCGTAATGTTTACGGCATTGAAGCTGTCTTTCTTTATATAAAGATTGTGAGAGAATCTAGAGGGTGAGAATGGTTGGTGTTTATGGAGAGAATGAATAGAAAGACAAGTATCGCAATGAATATTGAATTTGCAGTATACGCCAAATCTAGTTGACTTGATTTTTTTTTTTTCCAGATTAGCCGCGAACCTCTCAGGTGAGGACCACATTTGGTAATTCTGCTATTAATTTAAACGGCTGTTATCTATTGGATTATTGAAATACCATTTTAAACGGTGCGGATGCAATTGACAGCATTGGTAATTGACGGATCAAATTGATAATTCATGCACACTTTAATGACATAGGTGTATTTAATCCCAGAAAAAAAGGGCTACAGTGACTAATAATTTTATGTTAATGCATTCGTAGAGAAATTTTGAACCCGTTGAAGAGATTGGTGGAGCTATTGAAGTTGATTGCACTGATGGGAAAGTTCCAGAGGACTTTCCAGAGGGTGTTTACATAAGAATTGGTAAACAGTAAACCCTAATGTTGGTCATTTCTAGTTTGTTTGGTACTTATTTTTCCGGATAGGGTGATGTATGCAATATGTTGATGTGCATCTGTAATCATGTAATCCAATTGAGAGTGGTGTTTTAGCACTGAACTTAGATTATTTTTTGTGATTAGAAGATTAAGTAGACAGCGTAGGTTGTTGGAAAGAATTTTTCTGTTGAAAGTTGAGATACATTTCATATCTCTTTGATGAAAATATATATTTTTTGGTAGGCCCGAATCCTCGATTTGGAGGTCCAAAGTCGGCAGTTTCAATTTTTGGGAGAACCAACCACATTTGGGTAGAAGGAGAAGGAATGCTTCATGCTCTATATTTCAAAAAGAATGCCACTGGAGATTGGACCTTGGCCTACAACAACAGGCAGGTTGTATCTGAAACAGTGAAGTCAGAAAAAGAAAGAAACAAACTTGCTTTTATTCCTGCGGTAGATGGAGATGCACTCGGGATCTTAGCAGCTTATTTTTTCAATCTGGTAATGCTATCATTTCCATTAGATTTGGCTTAGTAGAAGTCACTTGAGATTAAGCCCATGTTATACCTTCACGAGATAAACCAACATTATCTTTACTTCCTGTTGCTCTGTTAGTTGAGATTTGGGTCAGTCAATAAAGACTTGAACAATACTAATGTTTTTGAGCATTCGGGGAAGCTCTTCACAATTACGGAGAATCACATGCCCCATGAGATTGACAGATTTACTCTCCATACTCTTGGTTCTTGGGATATGAAGGAAGCTTGGGATCGGCCTTTCACCAGCCATCCAAAGGTTTTTCATTTATGTTTGTTTTCAAATGTAGTAACGCCTCGCACTTATAATTTTAACACTAGTTACCATTCAATTCATCACTTGTATGTGATGCAGAAAGCTCCAGGAACAGGGGAACTAGTTATACTGGGGGTGGATGGTGTAAAACCATTCTATGTAGTTGGAGTTCTATCCGGTACATTATTTTTGATTGTACGGTTTTATTTCAATTCTAACTTATCCACAAATTGCCAAGAAATTGGTAGAATTAATTGTTAGCATGTTGACAAAGTTCTGATGATTTGCTTTTTCAGCTGATGGAAAGAAACTAGCTCACAAGGTTGATCTCAACCTTGATAGTGGTGTCCTCAGCCATGAGATAGGGGTTACCCTGAAGTAAGTTTGTATTGCCTTGTATCTTTAGAACTCGGAAGCCTTCATAGTAAATATGTTCACTAGAAAAATATGGAGTAAAATATGTTTGTTTAATCATCAGGTATAATGTTGTCATGGATCATCCTCTGCTACTAGACATAAGTAGACCCTTCAAGGGAGGCGCGTGAGTGAATTTTTCTAGCTACTACTTGAAAGAAAATTTTGTAAGCGTCAACAGACCACTAATATTCTTCTGCCGGGCCATTTATCCCCTTCTGCAGATTGATCCATTATGAGACGGGTGGACATGCAAGGATTGGAGTTATGCCCCGTTATGGTGATGCTGATTCAGTTAAGTGGTTTGACGTGGCTACACATTGTACATTTCACCTTATAAACAGTTTTGAAGATGGGGACGAGGTAACTAGAATCAACTGGAAGCTCATTCATCTCTTTGTCAGATTCCCATGGAGGTGTTTAGTAACAAACCTTTAATGGACTCAAATTTTGGTACTGAAATTTTCGTATTTCTAAACAATAGGTGGTGGTGAGGGGATGCAGGGCGTTCAATTCTGNAAACAAGATAAATTTGGACGAATATTTGTTTTTCCTTAGTCCCTTGCCATTCCTAATAATGAGCAACCATTTAAATGGTAACAAATTGGGAGGGGAGTAATTCTCCTAATTTAAGAATAATGAACTAGGACTATTGGATTTGTAGTTGGTTTAGCACAGGATGGAATTTACAATCAACCAGATGATAATAACATGTTAAATTTTCAAAATAGATTTCGAAATTATACCAAAATTATAACATAATATCACTATTTTGTGATATGATGTAATAATAACATCGTAATATTACCCTTGTGCAAATTTTTTTTCTCCAAATAACTTTGGACATTTTTTTTGAATTTTTCTAAGTGTTTGGTTAGTTGGAAATGAAAAATCTTTAGGCCAGAAATAACTATCCTTGACCCAAAATGGTAAGTAAGTGGCAATAACAACGAGTTATAAATCTAAATATCTTAAATTCGAATTTTGACAATCTCTAAATATCAGGACGTAAGAGATTTATTCCTTATAAATTTTTTAATTATGATGTGAATAACCTGTCTTTGATCGAACTGAAAAAGAAATTAGTCTAGTTACGCGTCTGCTAGTCCAAATACCGCTAATTGTTGAAAAAAAAATAACTAACCTTTTTTTCTTCATATAAGAAAGTTAAAAATTTTCCATGCCAGTGGCTTTGAACAATTTAAAACCCCACTTTACCCTCTCTCTTTTCTTTAATTTGAATTTCCAACATGTATATATTATAAATTCCAAAACTATTGACTGTCTACATAATCTTATTTCCCGTAGAATGAGTAAAGTTTACAGGTGCTAAAATGAGGATATGGTAAATAGTTAGGGTGTTCATGGGCGGAGCTGGGTTAGGCCAAAACTTTTACCTAAGTGAGTTATTGGGCGGGGTGGGACGGGTTTCGGGTAGGGGTAAGTTACCCACAGCCCAACCCAAGAGCCTATTGGGCGGGCCTGTTCGCGGACTTTTTTATATACAACTTTATTTAAAAATAATGAATATTTTTGTAATTTAATATTTGTATAAATTATATTTTTGAATCAAAAATAGAGTCAAAATGAATAAAAATAAAATAATGAATAATTTTATTTTTAATTAGGGGATGAACTACATCTAATAGAATGAATACATTCCAATTAGGTTGACACCTACTCACTTATCTATCATTTGTATTACTCTACTATTTAAAATTTGTATGTTTAATATATGAAAAATAAAATAATATATTATTTATAGTATCTAAAATTTTAAAACTTCAAATTTCTACATTGAGAGACTTATTTTAAATTTTTAAATTTAATGATCTAAAAATATAATTTTTTTTTCAAAAGAAGAGTGGGCGGGTTAGCCTTGGCTGGCGGACTCTTCAACCTGGCTTAACGGGCGGTCTCTTCGGCCGGATAATGGGTTTGGGGGCAAATCTAATCCCTCTTTTTAAAGATATTGTGCTCGGATTCTGACAGGCTAACTATCGGACATATAGAATTTTGAGCCTATTTTTTCAAGACCGGATAACGGGACCCGTGGGTAACCCGCCCCATGTACCTCCCTAGTAAATAGTAGCAAAACAATACTACAAAATTTAAATAAAATTTAAAAAATTTCAACCCAAATGTATATCATCTCTCGGATAAATAAGTACTATTAATTTTTTAGTGGAATCCACTTATCTCACACTCATCTAAACAATGATATATATTTAAATTTTAACTTTTAAATTTCACTTAAATTATAAAGCATTTTCCATAGCAACATATCGTTCTCCCTTCTGACAAATTATTGCCTTCAAATTACCCATATTACCCTCAAAGAGGAAAATCAATTCTAACTGTTGTACTTCTTTCAAAAAAAAATAATAACTGTTGTACTTTTACTCTTTAAGACAAAATTGGATAATCAGATTTTTTTCAATACAAATGATAAAAATCAGTCAAAAATTTGTTCCTGTAGACAAAATTTGGTAATTTGATATATATCATTTTTGATCAAAAAAATTCTATAAAATTACTTCTTTATTCGGTATATCTACAAAATTTGCCAAAAAAATGAATAAAGTTTTCCATAAATTTATTCCCCACATGACCTGAATTTTTTTTTCGTAAATTTATCAAAATTTTGGTATCAGATCAAATTTCACTTACTATGAGTAATAAGGAATACAATATTGAGGAAAATTTCTGAAAAAATATTATGATGATAAAAAATGAGTGGCAAAATAAGTCAAAAATTTGCTAGTTATGATTAGAAGAAGCCAATTGTTGAGTATAAAAGAAAGTCTAAAAAGAAAGATCAATTAACAAAAAAGAAATAATTTATTAGATATGAGCTATCTTAATCTAAATTATCGATTCCAACAAACACATATTGGACTTCAAAAAAAAAAAATCTTTATTTCGAAATGGTTTGATATATGAAATGAATCTATTATTTCGATTTGTTACGTATTTTTTTATTTTATTGAATTGAATTATGTGAATTTCGATACATCACAAAAAAATGTTGAATATAATTTTTATGCGGATAAATTTCAATTTGCACCCTTATTCCCTCTCAATATATTTTGAGGCTTAAAACAACAGTTATAGTAAGACCTTTTATTTTAAATATTAATAAAAATTTTAAATAAATTTATTCTTCTCACAAAAATGTAATTATTAAACTTTTATATTCAATTTTTGCTGTCATATATTTTTTAATTCATAGTATTTTTAATTCACTTAATCTTTATTATTATGATATAGACGATAAAGATTTTCATGTTATTATAATATTTTTTTCTTTGTTGTTGTAAGATTTTTTTTTGTTTGTTTTACGCCAAGGTTGTCATACTACATATTTGATTCGTAGATCCCCATTTGAAAAACCTTGAAAGTGACATCAACAATAAGAAGTTTTCGCACCAATGTCGGGGATTTTGGAGCCGGCTTGTCGTTACATACCATAAGATGGTGTTTCATTCTATTGGGTTTTTGTCTCTAATTCTGTGGAACAAGCTGTTATATCTTGATTGTCAGTCTTGGCGTTTTAGATTTGGCTATAAGTTGTTTGAGACAATGCCTGAAAGAAATGGTATCTCATATAATGTCATGATTCTTGACTGTTTTCGTAATGTTTACGGCATTGAAGCTGTCTTTCTTTATATAAAGATTGTGAGAGGATCTAGAGGGTGAGAATGGTTGGTGTTTATGGAGAGAATGAATAGAAAGACAAGTATCGCAATGAATATTGGATTTGCAGTATACGCCAAATCTAGTTGACTTGATTTTTTTTTTTTCCAGATTAGCCGCGAACCTCTCAGGTGAGGACCACATTTGGTAATTCTGCTATTAATTTAAACGGCTGTTATCTATTGGATTATTTAAATACCATTTTAAACGGTGCGGATGCAATTGACAGCATTGGTAATTGACGGATCAAATTGATAATTCATGCACACTTTAATGACATAGGTGTATTTAATCCCAGAAAAAAAGGGCTACAGTGACTAATAATTTTATGTTAATGCATTCGTAGAGAAATTTTGAACCCGTTGAAGAGATTGGTGGAGCTATTGAAGTTGATTGCACTGATGGGAAAGTTCCAGAGGACTTTCCAGAGGGTGTTTACATAAGAATTGGTAAACAGTAAACCCTAATGTTGGTCATTTCTAGTTTGTTTGGTACTTATTTTTCCGGATAGGGTGATGTATGCAATATGTTGATGTGCATCTGTAATCATGTAATCCAATTGAGAGTGGTGTTTTAGCACTGAACTTAGATTATTTTTTGTGATTAGAAGATTAAGTAGACAGCGTAGGTTGTTGGAAAGAATTTTTCTGTTGAAAGTTGAGATACATTTCATATCTCTTTGATGAAAATATATATTTTTTGGTAGGCCCGAATCCTCGATTTGGAGGTCCAAAGTCGGCAGTTTCAATTTTTGGGAGAACCAACCACATTTGGGTAGAAGGAGAAGGAATGCTTCATGCTCTATATTTCAAAAAGAATGCCACTGGAGATTGGACCTTGGCCTACAACAACAGGCAGGTTGTATCTGAAACAGTGAAGTCAGAAAAAGAAAGAAACAAACTTGCTTTTATTCCTGCGGTAGATGGAGATGCACTCGGGATCTTAGCAGCTTATTTTTTCAATCTGGTAATGCTATCATTTCCATTAGATTTGGCTTAGTAGAAGTCACTTGAGATTAAGCCCATGTTATACCTTCACGAGATAAACCAACATTATCTTTACTTCCTGTTGCTCTGTTAGTTGAGATTTGGGTCAGTCAATAAAGACTTGAACAATACTAATGTTTTTGAGCATTCGGGGAAGCTCTTCACAATTACGGAGAATCACATGCCCCATGAGATTGACAGATTTACTCTCCATACTCTTGGTTCTTGGGATATGAAGGAAGCTTGGGATCGGCCTTTCACCAGCCATCCAAAGGTTTTTCATTTATGTTTGTTTTCAAATGTAGTAACGCCTCGCACTTATAATTTTAACACTAGTTACCATTCAATTCATCACTTGTATGTGATGCAGAAAGCTCCAGGAACAGGGGAACTAGTTATACTGGGGGTGGATGGTGTAAAACCATTCTATGTAGTTGGAGTTCTATCCGGTACATTATTTTTGATTGTACGGTTTTATTTCAATTCTAACTTATCCACAAATTGCCAAGAAATTGGTAGAATTAATTGTTAGCATGTTGACAAAGTTCTGATGATTTGCTTTTTCAGCTGATGGAAAGAAACTAGCTCACAAGGTTGATCTCAACCTTGATAGTGGTGTCCTCAGCCATGAGATAGGGGTTACCCTGAAGTAAGTTTGTATTGCCTTGTATCTTTAGAACTCGGAAGCCTTCATAGTAAATATGTTCACTAGAAAAATATGGAGTAAAATATGTTTGTTTAATCATCAGGTATAATGTTATCATGGATCATCCTCTGCTACTAGACATAAGTAGACCCTTCAAGGGAGGCGCGTGAGTGAATTTTTCTAGCTACTACTTGAAAGAAAATTTTGTAAGCGTCAACAGACCACTAATATTCTTCTGCCGGGCCATTTATCCCCTTCTGCAGATTGATCCATTATGAGACGGGTGGACATACAAGGATTGGAGTTATGCCCCGTTATGGTGATGCTGATTCAGTTAAGTGGTTTGACGTGGCTACACATTGTACATTTCACCTTATAAACAGTTTTGAAGATGGGGACGAGGTAACTAGAATCAACTGGAAGCTCATTCATCTCTTTGTCATATTCCCATGGAGGTGTTTAGTAACAAACCTTTAATGGACTCAAATTTTGGTACTGAAATTTTCGTATTTCTAAACAATAGGTGGTGGTGAGGGGATGCAGGGCGTTCAATTCTGTCATTCCAGGCCCCGATCTTGGAGAAGATAAGTTGGAGTGGTTCTCAAGGGGATTTAAACCTCTAAAGTCAATTGAAGACAATGTTGATGGTTCAACAGAAGATGGATTTCTTTTTTGTCGTGTATGTGAATGGAGACTAAACATGGTAACTGGGGAGGTTAAGGAGAAAAATCTCACCGGAATCGACTTCTCTATGGATATGCCTGCAATCAATGGAAATTTTACTGGTCTTAAACATAAGTATGGGTACACTCAAGTTGTTGATTCCATGGCTAGCTCTAGTTGTGGTAAAAACTAATGTTCATATGGAAAAGCTATATTATGTCAAAGCATAAGATTCTACGCATCTAACATTGGTCAGTTTTTTGTTTACCAGGCCTACCTAAATACGGAAGTCTGGGAAAACTATACTTCGAGGAAGGATGCTCTGAGCAATCTATGGTAAGACATCCATAATCCTCATTTTCTTTGCCATTTTTTCTGGTTTAATTTAACACCTTGGAACTGGAACAACTGTTGAGATTTTCAATCCTATGTTGGTACATACATGTTTACAATTTACATGGTCTTACTTCTAAACCAGGGGGAGGGACAGAATGAGCAGTTTATAAAAGTGGAGTATCATAGGTCTGCTGTAAGCAACTTCTACACTGGAATGTTTTTTGTCCCTAAGCAGGGAGGTCCTGAAGAAGATGATGGTTGGATCGTCTCTTTTGTTCACAACGAAGAGACTCATGTGTCCCAAGTAAGTCTGCTATCTTCAAGCCTCAAAGAAATCCGGCATTTCTCTCAATGATCAATGTCTTGTCCAGAATAACACTATTCTTTAGCATGAGATTTCAGTCAGTGTGTATGTGTCTGTGTTGTGTGCATCTATATGTATAAGTAGTTATAAATTGCTTCTTGCAGGTCCATATACTCGATGCAAAGAATTTTGAGGGCGAGCCTATCGCCAAAATAACAATGCCGCAGAGGGTGCCATATGGTTTTCATGGAACTTTTGTACCGACTCCTATTGGGCATCAACTCAATATTGTGTAATGATGATAATAACTTACACTCCTTGGATCAAATTTGTTGATCTAATATACTATTACTGTTGAATTATGGTAGACCCCATTTAGTATAATGACCCACTACTAATCCAACAATAATAATAAATTAAATCAACAAATTGAATTAGTAAATAAGATTCAAGTAGCATTTTTCATCTTAAAATGTGTATATGTTTGACATGTGTGATGTTTCTTTTTGTTCTCCTGTTCCCTTTGTTGTGTGGGACTGTCCTGTACTGATAGCTGCTTCTTGTTGAATAAAAGTAATTGTTGAACTGGAATATTGCTGGCTTAGTATATTAATGTGCGGGCAAGATCTTGCACGATATAAAAAACGAGAATAGATCTCTCTCCTGGTGAACAGCGAGTGAGCCGGTTGAGTGACCAAACACGCTGCTTGGGACAGCCTGCGAGGTACGGTGATAACCTGGAATGGCAACGGGAGATCCTGTGTAAGGCTGAAAGGGGTTCCTGGAACGAAGAAAAACAAGTTAGAAGGGCGCCGGAGTGTTTTCCGGCGTATCCCCTCCGACGGTCTAGTCAGTCTTTGAGTGAGAGAGAGGAAGGAGAAAACACTGAGAAAAATGTATTGTAGTAGAGAGTTTGTTGTTGCATACCCATTTTGCTGTTTGCAAGGAGTATTTATACCTTAAAAGCTCATGATTGCTGTCAGTGTGGTCAGTAGGTGATCATTAGACACAGGTAGCGTGTGCATTGATTCTGATGAGGAATGTCTTCTCTAATTAACTGCTCGGGGTTCCG